CCCAACTCTAAATTAGAGCCCCACCCTAAAAAAGAGCCCCATTGGAAAAAAATCATAAAAAAAATTTCCAAAAAAAAAAATTTTCCAAAAAAAATTTTTTTAGTCCAACAAAAATTCCACATACACAAAAATCTCCTTTTATTTATTCATAATTTCAATATTTTTCAATTATCTCCACATATGTATTTATTAATTTGTTTGTCACTCTCAAGATGCACACAAAAACACATTACTTAAACAATTTTCTCTACAAATTAGTCCATTAACAACACCACCTCCCTCCTCTTCCTTCCTCAGCTCTCCACACCACCCAAAAACAACAACAACCAAAACACTTATTTAACCCAAAAAAATTTTCCCCCAATATTTTAAGCGTTAATAGCCCATCAACTTCTCATCTTCTTCATCATAATTTTTCGTCAATTTTTCAAAACAAAAAAAAAATTTTTTTCTTTCTTCCTTTTTAACTTAAAAATATTCCCCTCAATATTCATCGACAGCTTTTTTAAAAATACTTGAAAAAGGTTTTTAAAGTTACACAGAGTTATTGTGGATGAATGATGAAGTATTTTTAAAAAGAAAAATAAATGCAAAAACTAAGTACATTTAATATTCAAAAAAAATTTTTTTTTCTTAAAAATATTCTTAAATTCTATTGTTTAATCTCAAATATATATAAGAGAATTGAAGGCAATTAGTAGAAGAAACAAAGAATTGTGAAGAAAACTTATTTTTATAAGAAATTTATTATTGTCTTTATGAGAAAATTTCAAGAGAAAACTTTTTTCTATAATATTTAATACCATCCCGATACCCAAAATAAGGAATTCCCTAGAAAAAATTTTTTCTTAAAAATTTTCCATAAAATCGGGAATTCTCAAACATTTTTTTAAGAAATCTATGCAAATTCCCGAGAAGTTAAGAATTTTTATAATATCGACATAATCCCTGGTGTTTATCAAAGAAAAGACGGGTTATCAGAAACCCGGACTATTCACCGTCCCATCACTGGTATGTATTAGAAGGTGATTAAATATCCGATCGATCAACCTTGACTACTTCCAATCTAATTTTTTTCAATTTTCTAATATCTAGTTTAAAATCCTTCCAAAATTTAACCCAATTAAACAAATTTTTAAAAATTGCGCCAAAAATTGATAAAAAATTCGTTTTTGCCAACCCCTTCTGAAAATACACTTCAAAATGCGCGCATATTCACTTATGTATTATTTTCTCACATTTCTCGTCAATCAACTTTTATTTTTAAAAATATTCTCTTTCCATCTATTCATTAACCCCCCTTCCCCCTCTCCATTATAATTATTACCAAATAATAAATTTTCCCTCAAAAATAAATGAGAGAAAAACAATAGAAGTTAGAAAATATTAATAATAAATTTATTTTAAAGTACTTTTCAAAGTGTTGGAGAGAAAGAGTAATTTGAGATAAATATCCGCGAGAAAATTTGAGAAGAGGACTTCATTAAGTAAATAAAAAATAAAAATATTATAATTTTTTTGATTTTTGGCCTAAAAATGACGGGAGAGAAGGGAAATATGTATATATAAGGATGTGTATTGAGAAAAGAAGATTTCGAATATCTAAAATTTTGAAGAAGATTCGAGTTCGATATCTAAACAGGAAAATTTCCAAAATATCCAAACATTCTTGGATCTTGATATCTGGCTATACTCTAGCTCTAATCATGAAAATACGTGTCCGCCGCTGGACCGGATGTGGCCGGAGTCTGGGTCCCAAATCCAAAGGGTTTTCGTGATATCCGGATTTTTTTCCGAACTGGATTAATCCAAAAAATTGGGCAGGATCCGATCCGGCATGAGAGAGAAAATCAAAATCAGGTTTCCGGACCATGAAAAATAACAGGCATCATTTGACTATAAAATTTTCAAATATTCATAGCCTTATTCCTATTTTTCAACTTTAATTTTTTTTCTAATTTTTTAATTCCAAAAACAATCCCCCCTCCTCTCAAATTCTTCTCAATTTCTTCTCTTATATCTTCCCTCTATTTTTAACTTTCCCCCTTATTTCAATCTCCAATCCACATCCATCTATCTTCCTGTCAAAAATTGTGAAAATGGAAATAAAAATATTGAAAAAAGAAAAAGAGTTGGACACTTCCCTTTCTTTTTCATTTAAAATTTGAAAAATATTTTGAATTTTAATTTAAATAAAATGGAAAAAGGCAACAGAAAAACAAAAAAAAATTAAATTAAAATAGGATAAAATATCAAAAGTTAAAAAAATTAAAATTCAATTTAAAAATAAATAAATAGAACTCAAAATTTTAATTAAAAGATATCACTACAAAATTTAGCAAAAATTTCTTTAAAAAATATTTCCAATGCTAAACACTGGTTAAACCAAAACCCCTAATTTTGGTTCTATCAATTCGAAATCCGATTTGAAGAAAGTTTTGAATAAATTGACTTGACAAAAATTGTAAAAATGAAAATGAAAACTTAAAAATCTACTCGGACAATTTTTCTATTTTCTCAAAACTTGACACATTCCCCCCTAATTCAAACAGAATACCTTAGCAACCCAAAAAATTATAAATCTTTATTTTTCTTTTTTCATTATCTCTTTATTCCTTATCTTTGTAAAACTTTCCAGCAAGCCTTAATTATATCGTCTTTATTTAATTAAAAAAAATTTATTTATTTAATAATATTATCTCTCTCTTCAATAACAAACAAAAACACACAATTTTAAAATCCCGCTTTTATTTTAAAAGTTAGAAAAAAATTTTTTTAACACTTCCCCTTCACTAAAAGACGACATCTGTTAATAATAATAATATAAAATTGAAATTAGATATATATGAAAGAGAACTTTCTGCTAAAGAAGAAGTTTTGTGACCAAACGGAAGTGTGAAAAATAAAAATAATAAAATAAAAGAGACAAACACACACACTCAATCCCTATTTTATTTTTGATCAGAAAAATAAATAAATTGACAAAAAGTATTAATAATAATCCCTTCACTTTCCCCAACTTCCCCCTCTTTAATATTTTTAAAAATCACAACTAACACACACAGCTTTAAGTAATTTATTTCTAAGGGTGACAAAATAAAATAGCATGAAAATATAGTTAAGTAGATCTTAAATTAGATGAAAAAAGTCTTAAAAAATTTATTTAAATACTAGGGGATTTGAGAAAGTCCCCTAGATTGACTCTGATCCTTTAGAGTCAAAAAGTTTTTTCCGGAGTTGAGATTTTATTTTACAAGTAGGGATCGGATTTATATTTAAATAAGGCACAAAAACGACCTTGGTCATGAACAAGCCTTGACTGACCAGTGTCTGCACACTGAGTTCTAATAGAAGAAAGACAGAAATAACCAGTGATAGATGTAATAAAAAAAATGGAGAGACAGTGGTCAGTTCGTGGGCAGGGCCGCTTCAGTGATTTATTTAAATATAAATCCGATCCCTATATATAAGTAACCAAAAAAAAGAATTTTCGTCACCCTTCTAAATTTTTACGAAATTTTTTTTATCAATTTTTCTTCTAATTTCCCTAATACATAATTTAAAAAAATTTTTATAAACTTAAAAATAGGTACATAATTTATTTTTAGTAGATAGCGTGCCCAATAGATCTTTTAAAAAATATTTTTTTTCAAAATTAAATCTTGCTTTTTTTTGTAATAATAAAGTGAAGAGATGAGAAAAACTTGAAAGAAAAAAATTACAATGAAAAAAAAATTGAAAAAAATTGGGTGCCAAAAAATAAATATTTTAATAAAATATATAAAGTATATGAAAAAGCAGCATTGGTTAAATTAAAAATAAGCTCAAAATGGTCAGGGAAACAGTGAAAAAAGGGGGCGAATTTCAAAACTATTACCTATTGTTAAATTAAAAATAAATTAAAAATAAAATTTCTAAAGTGCGTTTAAAAAAAATATTTTACAAAAAAACCCTTAAAAATTTTTTTAATTATTAGTAAATCCCCCATATTCCCACACACAAAAATTTCCCCATATTTAAATAAACATCCACAAACACCCCCTCTATTATTTTCTCTCGAATACAATGTGTTATATATACTTAAAAATACAAAAATAACCACACACATAATAATTATTATTAATAAATATGTCGGGTACTTCTTAAAAAATTTTTCTTTTTCTTTTTCTCGATCCACAAAAAAATACAAAAATAAAGAAGGATATACTAGAGCAAGTCCCCCTTCCTATTAAAAATAAAAAGAGAAAGGTCAGTCAAAGGTCAACAAAAAAAAACATCAAAAAATATCAAAAAATTTCCTTTTTATTTTGTTGCTTTAAAATTAGGAGCCCCCTTTTATTTATTGAAAAATTCCATTAAAAATCCTTTTATTTTCTTTCATATCCACACAAAAAAAAATTTTTTTCTTTTTTTTCTGTTCACCAACTAATAATTAAATATAAATTTTAAAAATAAGCGCAAAATTATTTTTTAAAAAGAATGTCGCTAAATTCAAGAAAAAAAAAGAGAAAAAAATAATAATAGAAAAAATAAAAGAAAATTAATTATAAAAAAATAAAAAATATTAAGTAAAAAAATTTTTTTTCTTGAACACATTGACCTCAAGAGAAAAAAGTTTACAAAAAAATTATATAAAAATAAATTTTCTTACAAAAAAATATTTTTGTAATCACAAGAAAATATTAAAACAAAAAAAAATTTTTTTTTTGATAAAACCCCTATAACCCTAATTTCAATTTTTAATTTTAAAAAATTTCCAAAAAATTTTTTTAAATTAAAAAAATCTAAAGCTGAAAAAAATATTTAAAACAAATAAAAAAATTTCCGAAAGCTTCCTAATTCTATGAAAAAAAATTTTTTATACATATACATAAGTATTGTATTAAAAATTATTTTTAAAAAATTTAGTTCAAGAAAATTGAATAAAAAATGTAGTCATAAAATTCTCCTATTTTTACACTATTTTTAAAAAATTTCAAAAAAAAAAATTATCTCCCCACCTGTACACATTCCATTAATTTTGGATACCACAAATCCCTGATCACAAACACATTCTGTAGAAGACCCAACCAATTGCCAACTTCCATCAGCTTTACAAATAGCTGTTGGGGGCTGTAATGCTGGGAATTGACGTCTAACTAATTTTTCGAGTTTTTGTGAATTTTTGGAATTTTGTTGAATTATTGTGGCGACAGGAGAGGAGTTGGAAGTACAACGTCCCTGAACGCTTACAACACCGTGGGGGTCACGAGAACTAACGGTACGTGGAAGGTGTAGAAGTGAAGAAAAATATTCTGGGCAAACATTGTAGTAAATCTATGAAAAAGCCAAAAAATTTTTTTCTTTATTTAAGCCTTCTTAACAATAAAAAAATTATTTTTTATTTTATATTCTCCCAAAAAATATGTTTAAAAATCAAATTACATAACAAACTAATTTTAAAAATTTCTAAAAAAAATTTTTTAACCTCCAAAAATTTGTTAAAAAATTTTTTTAGTGATTTAAAGCGAAAATAAACTCGTCAACAGCCTAAAGGTATCGAACCAAAAACTAGAAAAACACAAGAAAAAATCCAAATCTAACACACTAACCACTAGACCACCATACCAACTAAACTAGTTTAAATAAAAATTGACTGTGTATTAATCATAAAATCCACAAAAATTCTTTTCACCTTAACAGAAAGTATAGAAGAACAAGCACCAGTATTTCTCAATGCAAAATGTACATAACGCTTTTTAACATCATAAGAGCTTGTTTGGGTATATGTTTGTTGTTGATTATTATTTGATTGTTGTTGTTGGTGGTCTTTAAGAGTATTTCCTTCTTCTAAATTTCCTCCCCTTTCTACCTCATTTTTATTTTGATTATTATTTGCAGTATCCGTTGTTGAATGAGAAGCTAGTGTGTCTACATAATCCCTTTAAAAAATTGAAAAAAAATTTTTTTTTAATTTGTTACCTAAAGGCTTTGTTATCCCAAAGGTTCTAGCCGGGCAACCCCTATCACCGACAATCCCTCACCCGAAGGCTCGGAGTCCTACCCTAGTCTAAACTGGTGAGTAAACAGCATAATGGAAGAGCTGACTAAACGATACTCCCAAGTGAGATAGCAGTCATTAAAAGATAACATTTAGCCGCTAATGCTCTCAAGGCATGTCTACTAGGTCTAGGAGTTGTTTAAGCAATATCTCTCATATAACACTTTTTCAGACCAAAGGGGCAAAACCGTAGACAGCCGGGGGTTTTTTCTCCATTCGTTTTACCCTCCCACGAAATGGGGAAAACAAAAAAAAAATTGGGGGAGGGGATGAGGAAAAAAATTTTTTTAGCCTACGTGAATTTTTTGTGCATTTCCCTCCACCCCTGAAAATTTTCTTTTGCTACGGGCTTGCGCGGGTTAATCTTATTATCTTCTATATTAAGCTACCAACCATTTAGTTTCATTAAACCAATTTTTCCTTTTAACAAATTCCCTCTCTTCAGACTCATCAAACTGAGCAGCATATAATTTCAACGTTTCTTTACACCCACTAGTTCTCAAAGCTTCAACAGCCGCACACCTCACAATTGTAAAATTAAAATGTAAATAAAATCGTTGGGCTTCTCCTCTTTCTACAGAAGGAATTAATAACCAATTTTCGGCATCGTGGGTACTTTCGTAATTACAAGTTGAATAAACTTGGTGGTTTTTGTTTTCTGAGCGAGAATACATTGTTTCTTCTAACCACTAGAAAAATTAAAAAAAAATTTTTTTTTAGAAAATTAGTAAAAAATTTTTGAAGGTTCCCTTGTGTCCCAGAAAATTGGAGGAAATTTTAGACATTTTTTGAAAAAAAAATTTAAAAAAGTTTTTTTAAAAATTTTTTCCCGAAGTTTAGAGGGTTCCCTTATCCCGAGAAATTAAAAAAAATGTTTGAAAAATTTTTTAAAAATTTTATAGGGGTACCTTGTCCCCCTTAAAATTATAGGGAATTTTAGACATTAAAAAAATTTTTTTAAGATTTTTTTTCTAAATTTTCAGGGTTCTCTCATCTCAAAAAATTTGGGGGAATTTTATCTTTTTTTGTAAACTGCCAAAAATTTATTTTTCATAAATTTCAAAAAAAACGTTTTTCTTCTGAAAATACCCCATATCCCTGCCCTCTCCTAAAAAAATTTTTGTTTTCATAAAAATTAAAACAAAAAAATTTATCGGCAGGATAAAATAGAGAGTTATGTATCCCCATTTATATTTAGAAAAAACTTGGAATTGCTTCTAAAAAATTAAAAAAAAAATCATAATTTTCGGCACGGCAAAACAAAAAATTGAGAATATTATTCCCTTGTTTTTAAGATTTTTACGCCTCATTGAAAAGTGAGACAAGAAAAAAAAATTAAATTTTCTGCGACCTTTTATTTTCCCATAGAACAAGGAAAAATTTTCTTTTTAATTTTTAGAAAAAATTTTTTTTTGGAAAAATTTTTAAAGAAGGTTCCCTCGCTTCAGAACCATCCCAAAAAATTGGGAAAGGTTATGATTTTCTTCAAAAAAATAAAAAAAAATTTTTTTTTGTGAAATTCTCTCCCCAAAAATAAATTAAGGAAAAAATACTATTTATTTTTTATTTAAAAATTTAAAAAATATACCCCATCCTTCTCATCTTGATTTGAATAAGTACGCCAATTTAATTCAGAAGTAGCATTGAGTGTGTCCAATAAATAAACTTTAAAAAAAATAAATTTTTTTTATTTAAAATATTTATTTAAATAAATCCCCCCTTTTCCCCTTTTAATTTTCTTCTTAAATATTTAGCAAAAATAATTTATGCATAACACCAAAGCCAGAAAACCCACCAAAAACCCCCAAAAAAGGCAAAAAAATCTTTTTTTTTTGGAAAAACAAAAAAAAATCAAAAAAAGTTTCCTTCCAAAAAATTAGCCAAAAATGAATCAAATAAACCCCAAAAAACCCCAAAAATGCAAAAAAAAGAAGAAAAGGTGAAAGAAAATAACCAGATGAGTGGATGATGATATTATAAAAATTTGGAGAGAGAAAGGTTAAAAAGGGGAGCAAAAAGGTGACAAATATTTTTTTGAGGAGAGGGGAGAGGTGAAGGAATTGAGAGAAAAAAAAATAAATAAATTGATTGATTTATTAATGAGAAAAATTTATTAATGACGGATTATTCTTTAAAAAAATTAAAAAAAATTTTTTAAAAATAAAAGAAAAAAATTTGCGGACAAAACTTGCGGACATTTTAAAAGATCAAAGAGGGAAAAAGTTTTTGACCTTAAATAATCTCCAAAAATTAGAGAATTTAAAAAAATTGAGGAAAAGGTGTGTAATTTTGCTTAGTTGATTTTTTTGGAAAAAAGCGTGCCGAAAAATAACTTTAAAAAGAAATACAAAAAATAAAAGGGATAATTTATTGAGGTGATTTTTTTAGAAAAAGGGGTGAAAAAAGGGATGAAAAAGGACTAGGAAAAATAAAAAAAATTTTTTTATGAACGAATTAACCTCAAAAAAATATTAAAAAGAAGAAAAAACAGAAAAGAAAGTTTACCCCAAGTGGGACTCGAACCCCCAACCCTTTGCACCCTTTGCAGGGGAGGCAAAAACACTATCCTCAGCACCACTTGGATTAAAATTTTTAGGAAAAAAGAGTGAAAAAAGACGTAAGAAAAATTTAAAAAAATTTTAAAAAATTTTTTTGTAAAAGAATTAACTTGAAAAAAATATTAAAAAGGAAGAAAAAACACAAGAAAAGAAAGTTTACCATAAGCGGGGGTCGAACCCCCGACCCCTTCCCAACGAGGCAAGGACACTACCCACAACACCACCAATTAGTTAATTAAATAATTAAAAATAACAATAAGTCTATAAAATAAATTTAAAAAATAAATTCCAAACAAACCTTTAAGCGCCCTAGTAGAATATAAAGTCGAAAAAGAAAGCAATAAAAGAAGTAGACCGCGTAAATAAATTATTGGCATCATTGCAGACAAATCCATTTTTTATTAAAGCATATTTTCCTCTTTTAAGGACATTTAAATTATTGAAATAAATAAATAAATCTGAAGAAAAAAAATTTTTTTAAAGGGAAATGCGCGGTGGAATTAGGAGAAAATTTGTGAAAAATTGTGGAATAACAAAAAAAAATTATTTTGAAAAACGAAAAAAAAAGAATAAAAAATTAAACACGAGTAGAGATGGGAAAGTAAAAAAATCCTTGAGTTTGAGTTCAGTTGTCGACTGATCAGAGGGTAAGTAGAGTCTGAAGACTTCTTCTAATCACTCTCAGACTCTCTACCCTAAGTCGAGGAAAATGAAGAAACTCTGAAAAATGCCTTAAATCTGGAACATTAAAGGTCAAAATCAAGGTTGAGGCTTAACTCTGAAATCAAGTGTTCGAATAAAAAAGACGGTCGAGATAAAGGGGCGAGGTTAAAGGAGGTTAAAGGGGGGTTATTTATCAACAACTCGTCCTAGTTAAAATCACCAGTCTTCAAATCTAGTCAATTGATTTTAAGAAAATTAAAAATTTCCAATTAAAAAAGGGTCAGACATTCAATTTTCACTTCTCTACCCCTTAGAGACAAAAAATCCCAAAAATAGACACAACGCCAAAACAAAAATATTTTGCATTTAATTAAATTTAAAATTGTTTTCGAGTGTTTTTGGAATATAATAATTTTGTGATTAAGGCCATTCCGCCGGTCTAATTCATAAAAATTTAATGTAAAGCGCTTTGTTGTTGTGTATATTTAGATAATCCAATCAAAAAAAGGTGTGGAAAATAAATAAATATAAAAATAATTTGTAACAAAAAGTGTGTGTTTGTGTACTTGATGATGATATTTAGAGAGTTATTTTTAGTTGACAAAAATAAAATAAAACTAGACTAGAAAACTTATTGATAGGGAAAAAGATATATATTTGTGTGAACAAGCATTGCTTGGGGCAAGGAAAGCAATGTTCCTAAAGATCGATGCCTTTAGAGTCTGGGAGATAAAATTTAGAAAATGTGAAAGACTCTAATGGTCCTTTTTAAAAATCAACTTTAGACTTAAATAAGACAAGATGTCGAAATGTCGGCACTATATGAAAGGAGGTCGATAATCGTTTTTTCATTGCTTTTTTCATTAACCTTTTTCCTTCCTTAAATAAAAATAATGGTCAGTCCTTTTTTCCTCGTTTAATTCCACTCTTCTTACCTGTGGCATATTCAAATGAAGACAGACAAAAACACACACACGGACAGACAAAACACACACACTGACATCGTGTTCGTCCGTGTTTGTCTGTCCGAGCTTTGTCTGTCCGAGTCCGTCCGAGTTTTGTCTATCTGTGTCCGTCCGGACGGACTCGGACAGACAAACACGGACGAACACGATGTCAGTGTGTGTGTTTTGTCTGTCCGTGTGTGTGTTTTTGTCTGTCTTCATTTGAATATGCCACAGGTAAGAAGAGTGGAATTAAACGAGGAAGAAAGGACTGACCATTATTTTTATTTAAGGAAGGAAAAAGGTTAATGAAAAAAGCAATGAAAAAACGATTATCGACCTCCTTTCATATAGTGCCGAAATGTCTTTGAAAATTTAAAAGCTCGAAAATTCTATAGGCTCATTAGAGTTTGAGAAACAAAATAAATTTAAAAATGCTTGCGACTCTTCCTTTTTTAAAATCAACTTTAGACTCAATAGTGTTAAGAGGTCCAAAGTAGAGATCGGCAAAATCGCATTCCCGTGATCCCTTAACGGGATTTTTTCAACATTTTATAGGGCAAGGATCCCGGTAATCCCGTTTTTAGCTCAAAACCCTGGATTTAGGGTCGTGATACGGTAAAATCAAGTGCGGGATCCGTCCCGTGCCGATCTCTAATCCAAAGGTCTCAGAAAATTATCAGACTCTCTACTCACCCTTTAATTAGGGACACGCCCATTTAGTCGCGCGGCCACTTAGTCGCAGAGCCATAACTTGCTAAAAAATTTCTGGCCCTTATCAATTTTGGTACCAATCTCTTTAGCTCGATGAGAAGAATCGTTTAATACTAAATTTGGTAAGATTCGGAAAACTTGAAGGAAGATATAGCTCTGCGACTAAGTGGCCGCGCGACTAAGTGGGCCGTACCCCTTTAATTAGTCTATTAAATTTAAAACCCAGACTCTAATATTCCCATTCATTCAAGTGATCTTAAGGTGATCTTCTGGATCACCCCCAAGTTGTGTTATGTGAGAAAAAATGGGGGACTGATTAAGCAAAGTTTTATTATTTAGTAATGGGAGTAATAAAATAGAAGAGAAAATATTTTTATTTTATTACAGCTTTTCTAATCACGGAATGATCACAAAAATAGAAGAAAGTACTTTTTTTAAAAAATATTTTTAAAAAATAAATTTATTGTGTGTCTCTGATCAAGGATAAAAGAATGAAAAAAAAAGTAATAAAAATACATAAAGAAATGAGGGGAAAATTGGGGGAGATACAGTCGTGGAAAAAAGTATGGAAGCGCTAGAAAATTTTTTCTTAATTCTTAATTTTTCATTCAAAAAATACGTTCTATATACCAATCGAAAGCTCTATTCGTATCTCAGTTGACATGTTTCTGCATTTTTCATGAAAATGAAAATTGGCCGAGATAATCCGGATCTACCGGATATACCAAATCCCACTTTTTCGGAAAAATTTTTCGGAACAAGTTTAACAAACCCAAATGATAAAGCATATTTGTCTGAGTATTTTCCACAAAACCGCTTAGAAATATCTCTTTCCGGAGCAGAGATATGATTTTTTGAAAATGGCATTTTTCGTCTATTTTTGCAAAAAATTCAATTTTTAAGCGAAAAATGCCATTTTCAAAAAATCATATCTCTGCTCCGGAAAAAGATATTTCTAAGCGGTTTTGTGGAAAATACTCAGACAAATATGCTTTATCATTTGGGTTTGTTAAATTTGTTCCGAAAAATTTTTCCGAAAAAGTGGGATTTGGTATATCCGGTAGATCCGGATTATCTCGGCCAATTTTAATTTTCATGAAAAATGCAGAAACATGTCAACTGAGATACGAATAGAGCTTTCGATTGGTATATAGAACGTATTGTTTGAATGAAAAATTAAGAATTAAGAAAAAATTTTCTAGCGCTTCCATACTTTTTTCCACGACTGTATTTAGTGGAATATAATACATTTTTTTGTATTTAATTTAAAAATTAATTTTAATTAATCTTTAATTTTAATTAAATTTAAAAAATAATTTTTGGGAGGGAGAGAGAGGCCTAAACAATTTTTATGGGGATTTCTAATTTTTTTTTAGAAAAAATAAAAATAGATAAGGGAACCTCGGAACCTCGGATCCAAGGGAACCTCGGATCTACATACACATTCACTTTCACTACATGCATTTGCATGTTTTGCCGTGAGGATTAATTAAAATTCTTTAATTTAATTGGCTTTTAGATTAAATTTAGGAATAAAATATAAAGCATAGAAGCTCTTTTACATAATTAAATTTTAAAAATTATTTTTTCTTCCAAAAATTTTTATTGTAATAATTTTTAAATTATTTATTTTTATAAATAAAGGAAAGGATACGTGAATGATCCATTCCTTTTATCATTTTAAAATACCCTATAACCTGTATTAATTGCCCTCCCTCAATAATAATTACCCCCCCCCCCCCAACAAATGCCCTAAAACACGTTCAAACTTTAAACCTCGTATAATTACCCCCCTCGATTAATTACTCCCTCTCGAAACAATAATTACCCAGAGTAGTTATTAAAGGATATACGGTAAATGGAATTTGTTAAAAAAAATAAAATTAAATAGAAAATATTAATTTTTAATTTCAAATAAAAAATTTTTTTAATATTTTTGAATGAGGAGGGGGAAAGGAGGGAGTGGGATTAATTAAAGGAGGGAAAATTATATGTATACATATAAAATAGTAAAGCGATAGTAAATAGGGTTGTTGGCGACCGGTTATTAACCGGTACCCCCGGTTTTCGGTTAATCTAAATTTTAGAAACCCGGTTTTCGGTTTTGAGTTTTAGGCAAATACCGGTTTTATTTTGGGGGAATTTTTAATAAAATTACTCATTTTCACAAATTTCCGGTTTTCGGTTTTTAAAATTTTCTAAAAACGGTTAATTTTTGGCAAAAAATTTAAAAAATTCCGGTTTTAAAACCGGTCGCCAACAACCCTAATAGTAAAGTGATCGTGAAGTTATAGTCATGCGCGCTAAAATTTATTGGATTATGGTAATCTATTTAATTATTTCGTAATGGCTTAAATTATTATTAGTGAATTAGAGGATTGATTGAAGGGGAGAGAGAGAAAGCATGTTTGGCATGTTTTTTTGGCTAGTTTTGTTTTTAAAGAAATGAATTTTTTAAATAATTTATTTTAACGATTAAAGTAACTAAGTAATATTTATTCTGTTGTTTTGTATTTATATGCAGATTATGGGAAAACAAGTAAAAATTATTAACCGTAAAATCCTCAAGGTGCAAAAACTAAAAATATTCTTTAAAAATTTTCTCTTAAAAGGTAACAAAAGAAAAAAGACTTTTAGAGAGGAGACTCAATGACCGGAATAAATTTTTTTATTTCTGAATTTTTCTAAAGAAAATTTTTGAAAATTCAACAGATGTTTGTGCGATTTTTCGCGTATTTTAAAGAAAGATTTTTTTTAAAATAAAAAAATATTTAATTGGAAATTTTGGGTAAAATTGGGGAAAAAATAAATATTTTTATTTATTTAATTATTAATTTAATAACATCTTCAAAAAAAATTTTTCTCGCTTTTTTCTTTTGTTTTTTTCCTTTTTATCTATTTTTGCCAAGAGAGGTTAATAATAAATAAAAGCAGATGCGCGCAGAATGTGACCAAATAAAGGAAAAGAATATTCACTTTTTATTAAATGGAGAAAAAATAAAATAAAATTATGATGCCTTTTTAAAGGAGGAAAATTTAAAAAGAAAAAAAATTAAATAAGAAAATTGAATAAAATAATTTTTAGGAAAAAAATTATTTTCAAGTCTAGATTTTTTAAAGTTTATTTTCTTTTTGCTTCAAGTTTTATTTTTCTACCTTGCATCAAGTTTATTTATTTTTTTGCTTCAAGTTTTATTTTTTTTGTTTCAAGTTTATTTTCTGTTTCAAGCTTATTTTTCTACCTTATGCTACGGTTGCATAAAAATCGCGCGCGACACGCGACAGAAAAGATAATGTAAAAAGAGGAGAGAAAAATCGCGCGCGATTTTGTCGCTTTTTTCTAGTGGTTACATAAAAAGCGACTTCCGCCGGCGTCTTGTCGCGCGCGACTTTGTCGCTTTTTTGAGTGGTTACATAAACCGCGACTTCCGCCGGCGACATGTCGCGCGCGACTTTGTCGCTTTTTCTAGTGGTTACATAAAATGCGATTTCCGCCGGCGACTTGTCGCCGGCGACACTTTTTTTGATTCAAACATGTTTGAATTTTCGGCGACACTTTTTTGCGACATGCTATTTCTCGATCAATTCTGATCCGATTTTCAAAATTTAAAAAGATTCTGAAAGTTCAGTTTATTCTCTATCGATCAATATAAATTTTATATTTTTAAAGTTAAATCTTATGGGTTAAAATTGATTTTGAAAAAGGTATACTTTTTGCAAAAAATGTTCTTTTTTTCGATATTTTTGAGATATTCAGTATGCCATCGAGTATTTATATTATAACTTTTTTATCAACGGTCAAAAATTCTGATTTTTTGATATGTTGTAGAGCTTTTGATTCTCTATCAAATGATATCAAAAACATGAAAAAGTGACAATTTCTTGATGAGTTCCTCCCTATTTTGGGGAGGAAAAAAAGATAAAAAGAATTTTTTGAATTTTTTTGAAATTTTATGGGCTTTAAAATGAGCCTAAAAGAAAATTTTTTATTAAAGTTCTAGGGGCTTAAAATATTTTTTGAAGTACTGTATCTCCATTTCCTTGATCAAAATTAGAGGTCGGCAAAATCGCACTTCCGGGATCCCGAGTCGGGATTTGGATATAGTTTAGTATACCGGAGTTTTAGTTCCGATATAAGACCCATATAGATCCACCGATATCCCTCTAAATCTATTAGATTTTTACAAATTTAATCTTATTTACAGTAGTCGACATAAAGATAGGGACAGGAGTAATTTAAATGAAAATTAACTATTTTTTATTCAAAAAATACGTTCTATATAGCAATCGAAAGCTCTATTCGTATCTCAGTTGACATGTTTCTGCATTTTTCATGAAATTGAAAATAGGCCGAGATAATCCGGATCTACCGGATATACCAAATCCCACTTTTTCGGAAAAATTTTTCGGAACAAATTTAACAAACCCAAATGATAAAGTATATTTTTCTGAGTATTTTCCACAAAACCGCTTAGAAATATCTTTTTTCGGAGCAGAGATATGATTTTTTGAAAATCGCATTTTTCGTCAATTTTTGCAAAATTTTCAATTTTTAAGGGAAAAATGCGATTTTCAAAAAATCATATCTCTGCTCCGAAAAAAGATATTTCTAAGCGGTTTTGTGGAAAATACTCAGAAAAATATGCTTTAACATTTGGGTTTGTTAAATTTGTTCCGAAAAATTTTTCCGAAAAAGTGGGATTTGGTATATCCGGTAGATCCGGATTATCTCGGCCAATTTTCATTTTCATGAAAAATACAGAAACATGTCAACTGAGATACGAATAGAGCTTTCGATTGGTATATAGAACGTATTTTTTGAATGAAAAATTAAAAATTAAGAGAAAATTTTCTAGCGCTTCCATACTTTTTTCCACGACTGTATAAAGGAGGACTTTATTTTTTAGCTGAATGAGAGGGAAGAAAAGAAGAAATGATCCCTCTCTCCATGAAAGTAATGATCTCTTCAAATCTGTTCTGTCTTTAATAGTTCCCCCATTCCCCCACTCATTTGTCAGTTCCTAAAAAATGAGTGTGAAAACTGGCAGGTATGTGTGGAAGAGGAAGGAAAAGGAAGGAATTTATGGGGATGAATTGAAGAAGAAGAAAAAAAGGAAGAGGATGAAGAAGAGAAGGAAGAGGAAAGGAAACTGATGATGAATAGAAGATAAGAGAAGGAAGAATAAGGAAAATAAGAAAGAGAACGAGGAAAATGAGGAAGAAAATGAAGAGGAGGAAGGAGAATAGGAAGAATAAGAAGAGAAAGGAAGAAGACAATAAAAATATTAAGAATTAGGTGAAGAAGAGAACTGAAGAATATGATGAATAAGAAAAGGAAGAGGAAGGAGAAGAGAAGGAAGAGGATGAAGAACAGAGGGAAGAGGAAGGCAACTGATGATGAATAAAAGATAAGAGGATGAAGAAGAGAGAAGGAGAGGACGAAGAAAGGACGAGGAAAAGGAGTAAGAAAATGAAGAGGAGAACGAAAAAGATGAAAAAGAAAATGAAAATACAAATAAGAAAAGGAAGAGGAAGGAAGAAAAGGAAAGTGAGGATGAATAAAACTGGATGAAGAGATGGAAGGTGAAGGAAAAAGAAAAGAAAGGAGATGAAACAACGGATGAAAAAGGAGGACGAGGAAAAGGAAGATGATGAAGAGAAGGAGGAAGAAAATGAAGATGATGAAGAGAAGGAGGAAGAAAATGAAGATGATGAAGAGAAGGAGGAAGAAAATGAAGAAAAGAAAGGAGAAGATGAAGAAGAGAATGAAGAATGGGAAGAATAAAAAAGAAGAGGAAGGAAGAGAAAGGAAGGAGAAGACAATGAAAATATGAAGAATAAGGTGAAGAAGAGAAGGAAGATGAAAATGAAGATGGGATGAACAGAAAGAAGGAAGAAGCACATATTAAAAAATAAAGGAATTTAAAAAAAATTTTCTTCCAAAGACAATTCATCCCCATAAATCACAGAAAAATAATTGAGAAAATAAATCTCTTTTCCAACTAGTACAAGAGAAGGAAATATTAAAAGAAAGGTGTCAACAGACTTTTAAAGCTAATAAATATTTTTAAAAATGAAGGGGAGGGCGCCAGCCTGGTTTATTATTTTTAGAGGTGGGACGAATTGTCTTTGGAGGAGAAAAATTTTTTGAGGAAAGGGTAAAAGACTTGGCGACATTTTGGAGGTTTTAAAGGGTTAAATGAGGGAAGAGAACCGTTGGACTGACTGAGGAAAAATAAAAGAAGAAGAAAAAGGAGGGAGGGGAGGGTCAATTTATAAAAATAAATAAAAAGGGGAAAAGGGGCGGGAATTGGCGATTTAGTTAAAAATAAAAGAGGATGGGTGGAAGAAGCTTTTTGAAGAAAGAAAAGGATGGAATGACTGGAAAGTGAAAAATAAAAAAATAAAAGGGAAAAAAGATGATTTGGAGGAAACAGCTGAGATTTTTTAATAAAAAATAAATATAATGCCAAAAATATTTTGAATGCCAAAAATATTTTGAATGACAAAAAATGGATTTTTATAGGGGCTTTGAGGGATGTTGAAGGAGAAAAAATTTTTTGATGAAATTATTGAGGAATTTTTCTAATATTAAAAAAATTTTTTCCGAGACTTTAAATTCTTTGAGACTTAAAAAAATTTTGGGATCAAATGTCTCGCTTCTTGTTTTAGATTTCTTATAGGAATTTTAAAAGGTTTTTAGAAGGGTTTAAATTTTTAAGGGATTTTTGGAAAATTTTGGAGGATATTTAGAATTTAAATGACTAAGAGAAAGAATTTCTTCCTTCCAAAAATTTTTTTTCGAACCTGGGACCAAATGTCTCATTTAGGGTTGTACCCCGAATCCTGAGGGCACGTTTTTCGGGGATCATTGGAGAATGACTGACAGAATAACATTAACAATTTATTGTCAGTCATACTCCAACGCTCCCCGAAAAACGTGCCCTCAGGATTCGGGGACCAAATGTCTTATTTAGGGTTGTACCCCGAATCCTGAGGGCAAGTTTTTCGGGGAGCGTTGGAGGATGACTGACAGAATAACATTCACAATTTATTGTCAGTCATACTCCAACGCTTCCCGAAAAACGTGCCCTCAGGATTCGGGGTATAACCCCAGTCTCATTAATCAAAATACCAATAATAAATAAAATTCAACAAACTAAAAACCCCCCAAAAATACCCTTTTAAATAACCAAAACCATTTTTGCCCGTGAAGACCAACAACCCCCCCCCCTCCCCTCCCCCCACAGCAGGCCGAAAAATTTTGCCGGCGCTGTCCTTTTAATACTTTGCCCTTTTTTCAATCCTTCAATTTCGGCTGCACACAATTCAATGTCGGTCAGTATATGAGGAGGGAGGGAGGGTGTATATAATCCCTAGGGAAGGGTGTTGAAGAGTAAAGGAAGAAAAAAAGGTTTTTTGGATCAATTTTTGGCATAAAAATTTTTAAAATAAAAAGAAAATATTTTAGGAAAGTTTCCACCCCTAGAATTGGGTACCCCTAAATTTAGGGTACACGTTTTACAAAAATGAGTGTTGATCATTGGATGGGGAAAGCTGTCTAAAGTAAGGCAGCATTTTCGGTTTAAATATCAAATTCGGATACTCCGTGATTTCCGAGGACCCTCCAACAATGAGGGTTGGAGGGTGAGAGAGAGACCCTGAAGGAGAGTGAGAGAGAGACTTTCCCAGGACCCTTCAACCCTAGGCTAAAGTTACAGACCGATAGATTTATTTGGTCCTAAAGAAGCAATACCTTAAATTTAAGAGCTCTAGAGTGTTTCTTATAGCGAGGTTCGACTGTTTAGAATAGCGAGGTTCGAAGCTGGAAGGATCTGATCTACGGAAACTTGGAAAGAATCTGTCCTGTTAGTGAGAGATTTAAAAAAACATCTGTCCTATCTCACAATTTAAGGGTTTTCTTGAATAGGCAGAGAAGCTATTAGGGGTAAAGGGGTATTTAGGGGTCTATTTGAAAGAAAATAGAGTTCTAAAACATAACTTAAAAAATATCTAGGTCGCTAAGTTTTGAAGAAAAATAATGAAACTACCTAATTTATATACACGCGCGCTTATTATTTTTTAAGGTTTTTTTTTGAAGGAAGGAGTGAAGAAGGTATTCGTGTTCTATATTTTTTAAATTTTATTTTGTTTAAAAAATTTTTTCTAATAAAAGAAAACCCTCTATTTATTTAAAAAATACTTTTAAAAACACTTAAAAAAGAAACAATTTTAAAAAGAAAAAAAGGGGAAACAATAACCGTAAAAACCAAAAAGGTGTGTAAAAAGTGTTGGCACTTGATGAAGTGAAAAAGGTGGCTTTTTAGAGAGGAAAGGGGATTGATAGAAATTCTTAGAGTCGAAAAATTTTTAAATTTTTTGAGATTTGACATTTTGAAAGTAAAATTAGGTCTTAAGTTCCGTACTCCGATTCGGATAATAGTTCGGTAATAGTTTGAAAGTCGCCCCCTTTTCCCGTTTTGACCATTTTGAGCATTTTTTGTTTGATGTATAATTTATTACATAACATTCGGAAGAGCTCTTCGAGCTTGGTCAAATGATATAAGCTGACTAAGTAGAATGAACCAAAATTAAGTTTAAAACTAAAATATGGGTCGAAATATAGGTCACGAATATCGAAAAACTATAGGGGGGACCAAGCTGATTTTTGAGCCCATAGTTAAGTCTCGAGCTAAATTTTAAAGTCAATCAACTCAGCTCGATTAGGACCTTTCGAATGATCTTTTTTTTCGAAACTCTCAAAAAAAATTCGAAACTCTTCCGAATCGGAGTATGATACTCATGACAGAATTTTGCCAAAAAAAAACAGTGACATTATAGAAAGTTGACATTTTGAAATAAAATTAGCATTAATTAACAATTTAAAGTTTAATTAATTAATTTCCGGTCACAAAACAAAAGAAAATAGGCACAGGACATTATTCGCGCGAATGTTTAAAAATAAAGGAAATTTTAGTGGAAGGGAGAAGAAAAAACTATTTTTTTTATTTTTCCATTGTTTATTTTAGTGCTAAAACCTCCAAGTTTTTTTTCTAAAGTTTTCTCACACTTGTCATTTTTTTGGAGAAAATGAATGGAGAAAATGAACACAATAAAAAAAGGTAGAAGGGAGGGGGATAACCATTTTTGGGGTTTTTGGCAAAAAAGGAAGGATAGAGGGGAGGGGGAAGTGGACAACCTACAAGAAAGACATTAAAGTCTGGGAATTAAAAATGGGTAGAACTTGTAGACTCGACTCCGGTTACAGCAAATCTCTCCTCGATACCGTCTTCTCGATACCTGCTCTTGTTAATACGACTTTGTCTTCTCAGGTCATGTCGGTGGTGAATTATCAAGAGATGAGGTCGATTAGACCGAGCATTATTAGAGATAGGACGGCCGCATTATCAAGAGATAGATAGGAGATCTCGAGAGATTGTAGGACTGAGACGTTCGAAAAGCAAATCAAACTCGAAATTTTTCTGGGCTATAAACTTAACCATGTAAGGAAATAACTATAAAGAAGGATAATACAGGAGAGTAATATCCGGTGAAATTAGGAGGGGGGTGAGCAGGGAAAGAGAAAAGATTAGGAAAAAGATGTGGGTTGAGGGAGTTATTTTATCTGATCGAGTTGTGCCAATGTATTTTATAAAGATTAATGAAGATAAAAGTATGTTCTCAGACTCTAATCCACCTTAAACAAATACAATAGAAATACAAGAAACACGAGAACTCTGTGGGTGAGGGCGCGCAACCGTGACGGGTGTATATCTATCTACTATTTATTCGTTCAATACCCCCCCCCCCCTTCCCCCCAATTTGCACTCTCGAACAGAAGAAGGAAATTATTGTTAGGGATTTTCTTTTGTTTTTAGAAACAGAAGGCATTGGGGAATGAACAATGAAAATGTCCAAAAGATAAGGGGAATATTATTATTTAAAAAAATAATAGGGATGAACAGCAGGGGATTGACTATTCATTTTTATAAAAGAAAAACAAAAATAAAATAAAAATTAATTTTTTTTTATTTTTAAAGGTCATGACCGGAAAAGACAATAAAATAAAAATAAATGGTTTTCAGGTAATTTTGGGTTATTAAATGAAAATTTTTTGGGGTTACAATTAAAAATAAATTAAAATAAAATAATATAGGGATGGGCAAGTTGTAATTCAAGTTGGAATTATTTTTTTTTATTAATTTAAAAAAAGTTTTGGACAATTAAGTTGGGAAGGAACACACTCCTATACAGGTGAACTGACCGAACGTCAACTGACATAACTTTTGGATTTGTAAACCGTTTTGAACGATTTTGGTATCATTCGATAGAGGAGAAAATTTGCTACAAAATTCCAAAAATTTAAAAAATTTAATTCGCGAAGAAAAAAGTTATGGTCAAAAAACCTAGCTTTATTGAATGAAAATACCGACCTGTAGAAAGTTTTTCACCCATAACTTTTAAGTAAATAAACATTTTTGGATAATTTTGGTATCATTCGATAGAGGAGAAAATTTGCTACAAAATGGCAAAAATTCAAGAAATTTAATTAACAGAGAAAAAAAGTTATGGTCAAAAAACCTAGCCTTATTCGATGAAAATGTCGACTTGCAGAAAGTTTTCTAACAACAACTTTTTTGTTATCTGATTTAAAATTTCTAGTTTAAGCTTTATTTTGTAGTTAATTCTCTCCTCTATCGAATGATATAAAATTTATAAATAGAGGTTTAGTAGTTGTCGAGTTATAGACAATTTACCCAGCGAGGACACTAAAATATAGCCTAAGGGTATTTTTAAGTTTTAAATTTTTTAAAAATTTTTTGAAAGTTAAAAAGTTATTTTGGACCATTAATTGATACAATAGACACAATTTTAAAATAAAAATGCATGTTTTTAGAAGAGAAAATGACCATCATCACCACCCCATTTTTGCATTACCACCCCAATCTTCCCCCCTTAACCCTCTCTTTCCCCTCTTCATCATCGTCCCCATAAGCAAAAATAGAGAGATGAATGATGTCTCCAAAAATGCAAGGGAATTCCATTAGTAGATGATGATGGTTGTAAAATAGAAAAAGGGGTTAAAAAATATTTTTTTTTATTTTTATATAATTTATGTGCTTACCTACGCGCATTTTTACCTTGTTTTTATGCAATAAATGTAAATGAAGGTAAAAAATTAGGGGAAATAAATAGGCATTCTCTCAAGCTTGTAAATTAAAATAAAAAGTTAAAAATAAAGAATGCGAAATAAAATTTTAAAAATAAAAAAAGGGGACATTTTGTCCAAAAATAAGAAAATTGGAATAAATTGTCCAAAAATTGAAAATTTGAATTTTTTGTCTTAAACTTTAAAATAAGATAGGGTATAGCATAAGACGTTAGTTTCTGATTTTTAAATCAGAATAAAATCAGAAAAACCAGAATTTTAGATACAGGTGTCTTATAGAGGGCAAATTAGAGTCCTCTTAGAATTAGTTGTTTATTGACAGAAATTCTGATTTTATTCTGATTTTTTTCTGTTCTGATTCTGATCATAAATCAGAAAACAAAGATTTTTAGCTGAACAATACCCCCATTTTAATTTCAAAACAAAAATTCTGATTTTCGTCCCACAAAATCCCTTTGGAAGACCCTAATGCTCCCCATTTTGACTCCAATACCTTTCCTATCCTATCCCCATTATATAACCATCAGTGTCCTAAAAAGACGCAATCCCACGCTAATTATTCCGCTCAAGTCATCACTGGAAGGCCAATTTTGTTTTTAGGGAGAGGTAAAAGAGAATAATAATAATAATGATTATGGGAAGGAAAATGAAGACAATGATTAGTAAAAATAATTTGTGTTTTTGTAAAAATGGGAGATTAAAAAAAAGAAAAGTCAGGAATCAGAAAATTGTAAATGGAAAAAAATAGGAAGAAGAAAAAATCGGAAAAAATGGAAAATAAGTAAGGGGAAGTAGGGTTAACGGAGTGGTGGACCACACAAACTTAACCTCCTATAACTTTGGAATTAATGAATATTTATTTTTGATCTTGATACCATTCGATAGAGGAGAGAATTGTCTACAAAATAAAATTTAAATTAGAATTTTAGCTTGAATAGAAAAAAAAGTTATGGGCCAAAAACTAACTAAAATGTGTCATTTTCTTCAGAAAAAGATTGGTTTTCTGGTCATAACTTTTCTCTATTGAATCAGAAAATTCTGATTTTTGGCAGTTTTATAGTCAATTTAATTCTCTATCGAATGACACCAAAAACTCTTAAAAATATCCACTTCAAGAGAAATATAAAATTTGGAGTTTGGTCAGTTCAACTAACCGACGCTCATTTCCCCTAGTTAAAAAAGTTGAAAAAATAATTTTTAAAAATAACGAGAATAAAAAATAAAAACAAACAAATAGAAGAAAATGAAATAAAAAAAGGATTAGTCAAAGTTATTAATTTAAAGCATTGTTATTTTTGTTTATATCCGGCAAACAAGGAATGTTTACTTTAATTATGTAATAATTTTTTTTTTGTTTTTTGCCTAAAGCAACTTTATGTTGAGTAATTGTTTACTTATTTTAATGACTAAGAAAAGAAAGAAAAATGTACATTGTTTGAGAATTCTCTATAGAATCAACTCTCGTTATTAGAGACTAAAGGGTAGGAGCGGGAGCTAAAGCTCAACCAAAGCTCAGAGCTCGGCTGCCTTTATATAGAGGACACCCTTGAGAGTAAAAAATATTACCCTATAATGAAGTTTATTAAATAGGAGGTATCGCTTAGACAGATCCTAAAACCAGTGAGCAACCCAATTTAGCACAAGGTAGCTGAAATAGAGGTGTTTTAGTAGTCAGGATCAGACATAAGGCAAAGTTTTGTTTCGTTTCGTTAAATTCTTGTTGTTTCGTGCATTTTGTTTAAGAAACGATTAAAAAAAATTTTCCTTTCGTTTCGAATTCGCCCGAAAAAAATTTGGAGTTTCGCTCATGTCTGCTCAGGATTTCTCATAACGAAGTTCTATAAAATGATAGATCATAATTAGGGGGTACTCTTAATTAAGGGGGTATCCTCCTCTAGTGTCTCTTAAATAGAGGTGTATTAGTAAATAAGCGAAATTTACAGGTGAAGCGAAATTAACCTAGCTAATTTAATATATAAGCTTGATTTACAGTAAATTTAAAATTAAACCAATCAAAAGTTGAATTAATTAGAAAAAAGTTGGAAAAAAAGCTAATAAATAATAGGGTTTAAACAAAGTTTTTATTTGTTTTTAGCAAAAAAGAAGCGACCAGAAATCAGAATTTTAAAAAAAAAGTTGGAAGAGAAAAAGAGAAGGGAAATTAGTGTAAATAAATAAACGCCTAGTTTTGTAGGGCGGAATTTTTTTTTATGAAATTTTTTTGAATTTTTTGTACTTTAATAAATATTTTTAAATTATAAATAAATAAAGAGAAAATTAAAAATAAAAATCAGAATTTTAAATTAATTTTTGAAAAAATTCTGATTTAATCTCAACTATAATGCGACTTTTTCTTCAATACAATACTAGTTTTTTGCCCACAACTTTTTTGATTTTCAACCAAAAATTTTGAAATAAAGCAAGTTTTGTAGCTAATTAACTTATCTATCCAAGGGTATAATCAGCTTATTTATAGGGTTAATAGTTTTTAAGTTATGGAGGATGCCACTTGGACAGGAACGTGTCAGACATAAATACAAATAAATTAAGGAAGGAAAATTTTTTTGGAAAATATTTTGTCGTGGTTAAATAGATGATTTAATTTACTATAAAATAAAAAAGAAATTAGAATTTTATATCAAAAAGAAAAATAGTTATAAGAGCAGAAACAAGATGACTAACTCCGTACAAGCGGGAAGAACTCAAGAACTAAATTTTTTGGAAAATATTTTTCTCTGATTAAATAGAGGTTTTAATTTTCTACAAGATAAAAAAGAAATTAGAATTTAAAACAGAAAAATAAAATAGTTATGGAAGCAGAAGCAAGATATTAGTGGAAGCGCGCCAGTCTTAAATTCGAATAACTCGGGGAAGAAAATTTTTTTAAAAATTTATTTTTATGTCGTTAAATAGAGGATTTAATTTTCCACAAAATAAAAAAAAATAAGAATTTAAGACAGCAAACTAAAATAATTATGGAGGCAGAAGCAAGATGACTACCTCCCGGGAACGCGTCAGAATTTCAAACAACTCAAGACTAAAATTTAAAAAAATTATTTTTGTAAATTAAATAGAGGATTTAATTTGCTACAAAATTAGCTAGAAAACAGAATTTAAGAAAGACAAAATAAAATAGTTATGGAAGCAGAAACAAAGCTACACCCCCCCCCCCCCAAACATTAAACAACCGCAAACAAAAAATTTAAAAAAAAAAATCCAAAAAATTCTAATTCCTTCAAATTCTTTCAAAAAACATTAGAAAACATCAAAAACAATTAATATATATTCCAAAAACAAAATCCTTTAATACCTTAAATTTATAGAAAGGATGAGAAAGTACGCCCGTCGCGCGAGGAGAGATGATCACTTAATAAATAATCTTTTTTTTTCTCTCTTCATCAATTTCCCCCTATAAAATGACCACAACAAGTAAATAAAAATATATTTTTAGTGAATAATAAATAAATATTTTAATAGATATTTAAAAGGTATTTTATTACAAATAAATAAATTTTTTTTGGAAAGAAAATTAAAATTGGTAGAGTAAACAATTATGCAGTTATTAAAAGAGGTATGCTTCTGAACTTTAAAAAGAAAGTTTTCTGAGATTGAAGCAAGCTAATTTTTAATTTTTGAACGGAAGCTATAAAGGAAAGTTTTTAATTTTTTTGAAACTGAAGCAGAAAATTAAAGAATGTTTCGTTTTTGTAAAGAAAACAAAGTTGGGCGACAACTTTTTTTTTTAAATAGAAATACAATTGTGGTTAGCAATAAGAATGATTCAATTACAGAAATGGAAGAAGCATGCTATGCTTAAATTTTTGCTTCGTTTTCAAAAAATTTAAAACTAAGCTATAATCAAAATATTCCTCAGCTTTTTCCAGAAATTTTTTTTTCTAAAAATTTTCAAAAAATTCATGGTTGAAGGGAAATCAAGAGTTTTTAAGAAAAAAAACTGTTTCAAAGCATACTTCTGAAAAAAAATTTTTTTAATTAAATATTTACCTATTAAGTTTTGGAAAGGCCTTAAATAAATACTCATTAAATACCCATGGTTAATAAATAAATAAATAGATTATTATTAATGATATTAAAAAATAAAGAAAGGCATGCCGACGAGAGTCAATAAACCAATTATTATTATTAGATAATTATTATAAAAATATTTTTTTGATGATAACCGCGGATAGATAATAAACAAAAAAAAGTTTTTTTTCAAAGAAAAAAGAGACGAGAAAATTAATAGATTTACAAGCATAAAAAGGAGCATTTTTATTTAAAAAACATTTTTGGAGAGTTAAAGGGGAAAAAGAAGGGGAAAATATGGGAAAAGAAGGGAAAAAATAGGAAGTACATAGAAGTAGGACATAGAAGTACCAGTAGCTGGAAAACTCGAAATCCCAAACCCGACCCGACCACGTCGGGTACATCCCAAAATAACTTTGTTCAAAATTGTGGAACCTGCGACGTCCTAATATGATTCGATTCAGCTCGTCGAGTATCATTGCGTACCGGATTCGACGGCTGGAGCTTGCGCTACTTTGGCCTGCTTTGAATACTGATAAAAAGGCGGGGAACATTTTCAAAAACCCGTCGGTGAAGAATTTTAAGAGCGGTGATGTCAAAGAATGGACGTAGTCGGATTGAGGGCGGGGAATGCTTTAAAATCATCGATAGATGGAGTCGAGGACAAGCCTATTTAGAAATAATTATGAAAGTTTTGAGAAGGTTTTACACGATTAGTGAAAATAAAAACGAATTTTCACATAGCCTGAGGGCATATAATTAGTGGACGAACAAAAGAAAATGCCGACGTTCCCAAAATAAATTTATTAAAAAAATTTTTTTTAATTGATAATTAGTTGGGTATGAGTAAAAAGAAATTTTTTTTGGAGATTTTCGGAAGATATAGGGAAATAATTTAAAAATGGACTGTCTGTTATGAATAATCAACAAAAATTACAAACAAATTAAACATGTTAAATCCCTTTTTTCGTGTAACAAATTAAGCAGCTTTCCTAACACACATTTTAAGACATTGTTAGCCAAGCTTATTTGACAAAGATGTTGTTGAATGTAAAACAGTTGCGCCCATACTAAGGATAGGTTTTGAGCTTGTCAAAATTTTGTGTTGAGAAGTTGTTGTTGTGTTGAATTTTATGTTGAACAAAAAGTTTTACTATAAAAGCCTTTATTTTCTCCATTCTACACCAATCAACAACTTTCTTCAAAGTAATTCTTCAATCGACGTTCTCTACAAGCAACAAGTCGTCATGCTCTTCTGGTTCGACGACGGACCTGGAACGAGAAAGGCTTCGACAACTCTGCGCTCGGCTACCACCATCTTGCCGATGTTCTTTGCTTCGACTCTCTTCGTTCTTGTGATGCTTGGACAGGTTAACTGCGAGTACAATGGCCCCATTGGATTCTACGATCACACACTGAAGGATGGTCAAGTCACGCTCGCTGCTGGTTCCGTTACTGTCGACAAAGGCAACATCAAAAAGTACCTGGAGCGCGATGGATCCTGTGAGGCTAGAATCAATGACGCGGGAAATATGTGAGTTTCTACATGTTTACAAATTTTTGAGAAATATTTTCCATTTATTTTAGTGTGGTCTACTACCAGGGAAATGACGCAGGCAAGAACGAGAACACAAAGAAAAATGGTTGTGCTGTGGACCTGCTCACCACGCATATGAACATGATCAAGTTCAAAGCTGTAGTGAAAGATAAAGGACCGATTGTGAAGTGCGTGACTAATTGTGGTCCAAATCGATTTGAAGCGGATGGCATTGAAAATAATCTGTAAGTTTATTCTCATAATTTATCATTTTATCTTATCATTTTATTTCAATTCTTTTTAGCATTCCCTTCGTCTACAGCTACAGCACAACAAAGGAAAACATCGCGAAATTTAAGGGAGGGCAGGAACTTGAAGATAAGGCAGAGATTTGTAGAAATCCTGAAAAGTGTAAAAGAGGTGATACATATGTGTGCCAGAAATGGACTCTTCTTATGGTTGGTTGGAACAATATGGGAACAGATTGCAGGGTAGAAAAATCTGGAGTCTTCGGTCATGCTGCTCTGCGTAAGACTAGCGAATCTTGAATTTCTTAAATTTATTTCTTTTAGTTGGTGCTGATTCTGAGAAAATGATACAAGATGGCGATGATTCCATGGGTTTTGAACTGGCGATAACAGAGAAAGGCGGACTAAATGTGACCGTGGATGGAAAAAAGATTAAAGGAGATGGACCACCTGGACCGATGTTTCCTGGACCACCTAGGAGCACAAACCTAACCGAAAGTCGTCCTTGCCTTGCCGAAGGAGAAGACGTTGCTGAACCTTTGACATGGAAAATCACCGGGAAAACTCCAGCTTTCGATCCAGGATATAGTCGTCTACTTGTCTTCTACCTGCTTCCACAAGTCTCTGCACGAGTTGGGAAAGTTTTCGTGCCGAAAGGTCCAATGTGTGAGGAGCTCTACATTGAATTCGTAAGGAATTTAAAGTTATTTGTAAAATATTTGTAATCCCTTTTTATTCAGGACAAGAAGGACTACATGCTTTTGGTTGCTGACGCACCAACAATTGCCAAGCCGGACACTCCAACTCCACCGCCCGTCTCTGTCCCAGGAACAAAGCCAACACAGAAACCAACAACAACCGAACCCTCAAGCAATGCCATGGTGTTTGTCATCGGTGGTGTGATTTTTGTCGTTGCTCTGATTGTTGCTGCAGGCATCTTCTTCTTTGTCGTCAAGAAGAAGAAGGTATTTGGGAACACAAAAATTTTTTGAAAAATTTTTCTTCAAATTTTCAGGCTGATCCGCCGAAGAGTGGCAAAGGAGGAGACTCGACTGCAGCCAATTCGAAGGTGGACGAGAAAGCGAAGACGAAGGAGAAGGAGAAAGGCGCGACCGCAGCGAATTCGAAGGTGGATGAGAAGGCGAAGGAGAAGCCGAATGCTAGCCAGAGCAAGTGATGGGAGGACTATAAAAGAAGCAAATGTGTTCAGGATAGGATAAACTAATAAACCAAAAGATGAGGGTGTTGAAGAGAAAATTCAAAATAATAATGTTTTTCTCTCAATTGTATGTACCTATATATTTTCTATATCACCCTAATATATTCCTATGCTTACCTAATAGTGTTAATATATGTATATTTGTGTATGTTTCCCCCCAAAAATCTGCCTATATTTGTAATATTCAATATATATTGTTTGTTTGTTGTTGTTGTAATTGTAAAATAAATTGTTGTGTTTGTAGAAAAGACGGGGGAACAAACATTAACAAAAATCATAATATTCCAAAAACATCAAAATCAGAAAAACTAAAAACAAATAAAACATTTAAAAACAAATCAGAATTTAATTTAAACATTGAACGAACATTTAGAAAAACAAATAGAACATTAACAAAAATCAGAATATTCCAAAAACATCAAAATCAGAAAAACAGAAAACACTTCAAAACAAATCAGAATTTAATAAAAACATTAAATGAGCATCAGATAAACAAATAAAACATCTCCAAAATCAGAATTTTCTCTACATAAAATCAGAATTAATCTGAATCAAACAAAACAAAAATCAGAAAATAAGAAAATCAGAACAGTCTCAAAATTAAAAACAAATCAGAATTTTACAGGAACATTAATTGTTTAGTTTGTATAAAAAGTAGGGTCGGGGACAAACTTTATTTAGAAAAGATTAAAGGTTTTGAGAAAGTTTTACAAAATTAGGGAGAAAAAAACGAATCTTAGTGAACGAACAAAAGATATGCCGCCGTTCCCAAAAATAAATTTGTTTAAAAAATTTTTTTAATTGATAATTAGGTACAGGGCTGTGCGCCAAAATTTTCGCTTTTCGCGTGGAACGCCAAACGTAAAACGCCAAGTTTTCAAATTTTTAAAACACGCCAAACGCAAAACGCCAAAAATCGGCCAAAAATGGACGCCAAACTCCAGACGTCATGACGCTAGCCCTGGTTAGGTATAAGAGTAAAAAAGAAGAAAAATATTTTGGAGATTTTCGGAAGGTATAGAAAAATTATAAGGGGAAAAAAGAAAATAATTTTAAAGAAAGTCTGTTCTGAACAATCAATCATGTTAAATCCTTTTTTCGTATGACAAATTAATAAGCTTTTCTAACACACATTTCAAAGCATTCTTGGCAAAGCTTGTTTGACAATTATTTTATTAAATAAAGACAAAGATGCTGTTGGATGAAGCAAAATTATACTATGTATAGCAAATAGAAACAACAATGGTTGATGCTAGTGGCGCTTCCACCTTCCGTTTTCGCGTATCTCTTCCATCCAAATATCCACAACCCCATAAAAAACTACACAGAAAAAACCCCCTAATAAAAATTTTTTCTTTCTTAAATAAAAAAAGCATTCCTCTCATTTCGATCCACACTCTCCCTATTATCTTCCAAACATTTTAATAAAAAAATTAAAAAATTTTAGAATACAAAATTTCTACTGATTTCTAATGTTTTTGAAGACAACAATCTTAAAAGTTTCCTCAAATTTTACGGCAGACAAGTTCCGAGATTTTTGGCCGCGGTTCCGGTAGGGAGTATATGAATCTGGCTAGGGAACCCGGTTAGGCTAGGAACCTGCCAAAATTTTGTGTTAGGAAGGTTGTTGTTGTGTTGAAGTTTGTGTTAAACAACAAAAAGTTTTACTATAAAAGCCTTCATACTACACCAATCAACGACTTTCTTCAAAGTAATTCTTCAATCGACGTTCTCTACAAGCAACAACAAGTCGTCATGCTCTTCTGGTTTGACAACGGACCTGGAACGAGAAAGGCTTCGACAACTCTGCGCTCGGCTACCACCATCTTGCCAACGCTCTTCGCTTGGACTCTCTTCGTTCTTATGCTGCTTGGACAGGTCAACTGTGAGTACAATGGCCCTATCGGATTCTACGACCACACTCTTGAAAACGGTCAAGTCACGCTCGCTGCTCACTCCATTACTGTCAACAGAGACAACATCGAAAAGTACACGGAGCGCGAAGGATCCTGTGAGGCTAGAATCAATAACTTGGGAAATATGTGAGTTTGTACATGTCTACAATTTTTGAAAAACAGTTTCCATTTATTTTAGCGAGGTCTACTACAGGGGAAATGACGCAGGCAAGAACGAGAACACAAAGAAAAATGGTTGCACTGTGGACTTGCTCACCAAACATAAGAACATGATCAAGTTCAGAGCTGGAGTGAAAGACAAAGGACCAATTGTCCAGTGCGCGACAGATTGTGATCCAGCAAAGACATTTATTGACGGCATTATAGATAATCTGTTAGTATATTCTCTTCCTAACTTATCATTTTATTTCAACTTTTTAGCATTCCCTTCGCTTACAGCTACCATACAACTAAGGAAAACATTGCCAAGTTTAAGGGGGGTCAGAAAGAAGAAGATAATGCAGAGATTTGTAGAAATCCTAAATCTGGGGATTGTAAACATGATGGTAGATACAGGTGTATGCGTTGGGCACCTCTTACTGTTGGTTGGAACGATTGTACTGAAAGAAATTCTGGAAAATCTGGAGTCTATGCTCATACTGCTTTGTGTAAGACTAGCGAATCTTAAAAAAATCTTATTTATTTTTTAGTTGGAATCGATTCTTGGCATATATTACAAGAAGGCCGCGACTTCATGAGATTTAGACTGGAGATAACAGGGGCAGGCGGACTAGAAATGAGTTTGTACGGAGAAAGGATGGGAGGAGTAACGTTTAATCCTAATGAACGGATTGGTAATCCCTGGTTTGGATCGAGGGAACTACGACCACATTTCCATTGCCTTGCCAGAGGAGAAGGCATTGCCAGACCTGAGACTTGGAAAATCGCCGGGCCAAATCCAGCTTCCGATCCGGCATATAGATATCTACTTACCTTCTACTTGCTTCCACAAGTCTCTGCACGGATCGAGAAATATAGCGAAACCAAGGGTCCAAAATGTGAGCAACTCTTCATTGAATTTGTAAGGAGTTTTAATTTATTTGTGAGAGAAGGCATTGCCAAACCTAAGACTTGGTAATTCTCTTTTTTGTTCAGGATAGAGATGAGTACATGCTTTTGGCTGCCGACCCACCAACAACTCCGACCGCCAAACCAAAAACACCGCCCGTCTATGTTATAGGAACAAGGCCCCCTGTAAAACCCACTGTAAAGTCAACACAGAAAACAACAACAAGGCAACCTCCAAGCAATAACATGGTGTGGGTGTATGTCGTCGGTGGTGTGCTTTTTGTCGTTGCTCTGATTGTTGCTGCATCCATCTGCTTTGTAGTTAATAAAAAGAAGGTAGTTGGGAATACAAAAGTTTTTGAAAATTTTTTCTAAATTTTCAGATTGATCCGCTGAAGAGTGTTAAAGTAGGAGACTCGACTGTAGCGAAGTCGAAAGTGGACGAGAAGACGAAGATGAAAGAGAAGACGAAGGTGGACGAGAAAACGAAAATGAAAGAGAAGACGAAGGTGGATGAGAAAACGAAAATGAAGGTGGACGAGAAAACGAAGACGAAGGAGAAGCCGAAGGCTGGCCAGCGCAAGTGACGGGAGGACTATAAAAGAAGCAAATGTGTTCAGGATAGGATAAACTAATAAATCAAAGATGAGGGTGTTGAAGAGAGAAGTCAAAATAATTATGTTTTTCTCTCAAAAATAAATATTTATCTATATCACCCTAATATACCTATACTTGTCCAAAAGTGTTGTTAATATATTTTTATGTTTCCTCTAAAGATCTATGTTTGTAATGTTTCTATAGTTTGTTTGTATTGTTGTTGTAATTGTTAAATAAATTGTTGTGTTTGTAGAAAAACCGGGGGAAAAACAAACATTGACAAAAATCAGAATATTCTAAGAACATTAAAATCAGAAAAACTGAAAACACTTCAAAACAAATCAGAATTTAATAAAAACATCAATTAATTGTTTAGTTTGTCTAAAAGTCTTAAAAAACATCCAAACATTTTAATCGAAATAAAATAATATTTTTCCATTTGTACATTTCCCCCAATTTTGCCTCTTCAACCCTCTCCCCAAGGCCAATTCGTCTTCCTCAATTTTTTTAAAAAAAAGTATTCATTCCCTCCACTTATGTGTTTATTCAATAATCCTCCCCGTTTTAAAACAAAAATTGAGAAAAAAATTTCTAGGGATATTTGAAGAGATTTGAGGTTATTTTTAGAATATTTTAAACAAAAAATTAATTAGAGAATTAATTGATTAAATAAATATTGGGTATGTAAATAATGGAATTGTGTATTAATTACAAAAATAAAAATGATGTTTTGATATGTTTTTATTATTAAATAAACTGTTGTTGTGTTTGTAAAAGAATTGAGAGAAAAACAACAAACATTGACAAAAAATCAGAATTTAACAAAAAGATCAGAATCAGAATTTAATAAAAACATCAAACGAACATTTAGAAAGCAACAAACATTAACAAAAATCAGAATATTCCAAAAACATCAAAATCAGAACAACTGAAAACAGCTAAAACATTTAAAAACAAATCAGAATTTGATAAAAACATCAAACGAACATTTAGAAAAACAAATAAAACATTTTAAAAATCAGAATTTAACAAAAACATAAAAACCAGAACAACTTAAGAAAATTAAAAAAAACATGCCTATAAAACACAAAAACACATCAGAATTTATCAAAAACATTAAACGAACATTTAGAAAAACAAAAAAAATGTTTGAAGTTTGTTCAATTCTGATTCATTTTAATAGGGATAGACAAACACACAGGGATAAGCTAAACACCGGGATAGGCTTAATTAATGGCTAATATAAAAAATAAATATTGAAATAGGCTTAGAACGAGAAATATGTAAAAAATGATAAAAAAATTAAAATGAAAAATTAATAATTATGTAACAAAAAAATAAAAAAATTTTTCTCGTTCATAATTTAAAATAAATTACACTGACCATTTAATTAATTAATTAAAATCAATTTTCCGGTCATTTATTGTTCTTGTAAATAATTTCAATAAATTCACATAAATTAAAAGCTAGTTAATTTAAAAAATAAAAAAATTCCTTCGATTTTTTCAATGCAAAAAACAACGGAATTGGGACGATGGGAAAGAAAAATTAAAGGGGGAATAAATTTAAATGAAAAAAAAAGATTATGTAAAGTTTGGTTGTTTAACTGATCCGGAGAAGCGATAACCAAGAGAAAAATTTCTAACAAAAAAAAATTAAATAACGGGCAATAGCGCGCGTATTTGAGAGAAAAAGGGGGAAATAAAAATAAATGTACTTCTAGAGGCCGCAAGCACACAACAACCAAAAAAACAAATAAAAATCAGAAATTGTAAAAAATAATAATGGGAAATTATTAAATTGTAAAAAGAAAATACAATCAGAATTTAAAAAATAAAAATTAAAACAGAATTAAATTCAGAATAAAAAGAATCAGAAATTAAAATTATGCGAAAATCAGAACGTATTTTGTCAGTCAAGTTCAAAAATCAGAATTTCTGGAACCAGAATTTTAAAATCAGAATTTTCAGAATTTTTCAGAATTTTAATCAGAATTTTAGATCAGAATTTTTATTAGAAAAATTTGTATCAGAATTTTAAATCAGAATTTTGGAATCAGAATTTTCAGAATTTCTGGAATCAGAATTTTAAAATCAGAATTATCTATCAGAATTTTTATCAGAATTTTGAAATCAGAATTTTCAGTTTTTCTGGAATCAGAATTTTGAAATCAGAATTTCCATTCAGAATTTTTATTAAAATTTTAAATCAAAATCAGAATTTTTATCAGAATTTTCTATCAGAATTTAAAAAAATAAAAGGAAGAATCAAAATTCTAGATCAAATCAGAAATATGTATGTAAGTGTAATAATTTTCAAAGAATAATTGAGAAAAGATCATTTAAAGAGATTTATGTAAAGATTGGACGTATATAAATGCCAAGGTAAAAAGAGGAAAAATTAAATTAAAAAGCGGTTATTTTGTTTGTTACGCGCACTAAAAGAATTCGTTCAAGGACAAGTTTTTTTTATATTTTGTAGAAAATGAGGAAAAATCTCTGAGGAAGGAGAAGAAATGAAGAGGAAAACAATAAGAAAATGGAAATAATTTTTTTAATTAAAAATAAATTTTTAAATCTATGTAAGTACACCCTCCTTAAGTATCCTTAAGTATGCTACACCCATTTCACCTATTTTAATAAAAAGTATGGAAAAGTTCTGATTCTATAATTGATTCTTGTGTTTGTGTCACAAAAATTATCAGAATTCTGGGTTGTTTCTTTATTAAATTCTGGTTTCTAATAATTCTGATTTTTTTAGATTTTCATTATAATTCTGATTTTTAAAAATCCTGAATTCTTAAAATTCTGATTTCTAATTTTTGATTGTAATTCTGATCTCCAAAAATTCTGATTTGTCAAAATTCTGGTATTTAAAAATTCTGAGTTCTAAAAATTCTGATTTGTAAAAATTCTGATATTCAAAAATTCTGATCTTTAAAAATTCTGATTTCTGAGAATTATGATTTCCAAAAATTCTGATATTTAAAATTCTGATTTCCAAAAATTCTGATTTCTGAAAATTCTGATTTCTAAAAACTTTTTACAAATAAAAATTCTGAATTATTTTTTAGATTCTGATTTTTAATTTAACAACTAAATTCTGATTTTCAAATTAAATATCAGAATTAGGTTGATCATCTGGGTCAAATATTAATACTAATTGGTCAATGCAAACAAAAATGGTCAAAAAAATTAATAAAAATACAAATAAATGTTGCGAATTTTCTTTTTCGGCATTTTAACATCTTTTTAATATATTTTTCTTTTTTATTTTTGTTTGTAGCATTCATGCGCAACAGAAAATAAAAATAAAAATTTAATCCCCAAGTGAGAATAATAAAAGGTTTGTTTAAACTTTAAAAACGAACACACACAAATTTGTGTTTGTTGTTGAGAATTAATCCTTAAAAAGTATTTTTAATAAAAAGAAAAGGGGAAGATGTGCTCTCCTCTCCGATAAAAATAAATTTGCTTAAATTTTGTGTGTGTTTTCTCCTGGGACGGTGGGGGGATTGGAGCCAATTTTAATAAAAGAAAATAAATTATAAAATAAATTTTTGATGGGTCACGGAAATAAAAATATAAATTGTAAATTAGTACAAGTATTTTATTAAATATAGAGATGACCCAAAAGATCAACTAGAGAATAGAATTAATGTTAGAATAATTAAAATCAGAATTATTCAATTAAAATCAGAATTATCCAAGCAGCAAAGAATAATTAAAATCAGAATTCCTAAAACACAAATAAATAAATTAAAATTCTGATTTGAAAAAATACAAAAAGAAAGAATTAAAAATTCTGATTTTATAAATAGAATGTAAAACACATACCAGAATTATAAACTAAAATAAAAATCAGAATTAAATTTAAACATATAAAATACAAAACTTAAAGAAACACAAAAAATCAGAATTTGAAAAAAACACATATCAGAATTATTCAATTAAATAAAAATCAGAATTTTAACTGAACAAAGGAATAAAATACAGAATTAAAAAATACAAAAATCAGAATTTTGAGAAAATACAAAAAATCAGAATTTTGAGAAAATACAAAATATAATTTAATTTTTAAGATTAACGGTTTATTAAAATAAAAGCAAACACATTTGTGTCAAAATCCTGTTTTTCTCACTCCATTCCTTTTTTATGAAAAACAAATTTGATTTGTACTACTTAATACTTCCAAAAGGTGTTAAATTTAGAAAAGGGAAAATTGGTGTGTGAAATGAGAAGGAAAGGGTATGGGGGGATATTAGAGTCTGGAAATTAAATTTAATCTGGACTTGAAAACACCACATTTGGTAGCATTTGTGGTCCCTACCGGAAAGGAAATCTAATTCAAAGTAGTTTCGAGAGGCCTCTCTATTTGAGGGTCCTCACAGAACCCTCGGGACAATACAACTTTACTTGCTAGACTCAAATAACCAATTATTTACTTTAATAAGTAAAAATGTTTGTGAACTACTTGAAGCTCTTTAGGAAGCGAAAAGCCCAAAAAAGCGTGAAAAAGCGGCTGGGAAATTTTTTTAAATGAAAAATTGGTGTGAACGAGTTCTTGGATTTGGGAGAATTATAAGGATATAGGAGGAGGTAAAAAATAAATAAAAAAAATTTTTTAATAAAAAAAAAGAAGGAAAAGTGAATTATTACAAATTAGGAAAAAATTGAAAAGTCTCAAAATTTATTTTAAAAAAATAATTTTTAGGGGAAGAGCACGGCGCCAATAAAATAGAAGAAAATAATTAGAGCATTAAATAAGTTAATGTACTAAAGACTGATTTTTAAATGAAAGAAAAATCAGAAAAAATAAATATAAAATACAGAATTGGCGTAAATACAAAAAAATACATACAAGAAAAATACGACAAAAATACAAAAATAATTAGGAAACACTCTTTGTATTTTTCTGTTTAACAGAAGAGAAATTCTGATTTTTAATTCTGATTTATGTTAAGAACAGAGTATGGGGTTCTGATTAACTATTTATTTAAATTGAAATCAGAATTCTGATTTTTTATTAAATTCTGGTTTTTAATAATTCTGATTTTTTTTATAATTTTTATTGTTTTTTGAAAATTCTGATTTACCATTATAAATCAGAATGACAGTTTCAGAATTAAAAAATCAGAATTAAACAATTTTAAATCAAATACAGGTGAAAACTGGCTAAGTGGGTTAACGCTACGACTAGTTAATTAAAGGGTTGAAGGTTCGAATCCATTTAAGGTTAATTGGTTTTATTTCTATGAAATAATGATTGTGAATTAATAAGAGTTTTAAAAATTAATTTTAAGGTTGTTAAAATTTTTTAAATTATTTTTTAATAAAATTA